CTGCTTACTTGTTGATGGAGCTCCCATGGTTCTTGTGGCTTCGTTTTGCTGGAGAGCTCAATATACTGATATAAGCTCCCTCTCCCAGAAACAAGCAAGAGCTTTCTTCTGCATGGCACAAATTCATGTGGATTATTCTTTCTTCTGTCATGCAAGAAGTATTCGTGCAACCACTGCCACTTTGCAACATGTATTTCCTTTCTAAGAGATTAATCCACACAACGAAGGCTCTGCGGACTTCTTTCTTTCCCTCTGAAAAGAACAGGTCCCAGCTAAAACTAGTACAGCACTTTTACCCTCTGCAGGGACAGAGACCAACAACTCTCACATTGGCTGAGAGGGGAAGGATGCATAGTAGACTTGCCCAGCAGGAGTCCTGAGGACCAAACATGCCTCTTGGTGTTACAAAGCATTCTGTGTGGTTACCCTCCAGATCACTAGGGTTTATGGGCCTCATCTTGCAGTCTTTGCTCAGACAACACTCCCATTGACTTCCACAGAACTTCTGTCTGAGTAAGGACCCAGGATTTGGCCCAGAAGTCAAAAAAAAGCCTTCTCAGCTTTCAAATGTAGATGATTAATGTCCCAGAGACAGTGGGCAGAGGTTTGGCACACTGTACAAAACTGACTTAAAGCTGAAATTTTCCTCCTCCTTCTTAGCCTCTTTGCAGACACAGGCTTTGAAAGCCACCAGTCTATGAGATGCTGCATTGTATCCATCGTGGGAACATCTCACCTGCCATAGGACTCGGGGCTGAAGCACAGAAGAGACCATGCAAAGGGCTGAGTCTAGGGATCTACACAAGTTCCCTCCTGTCTCTCCAAGTCTGCAAAGCTTTTCGCTTCCAAGTTTTGCATGCCACTTAAATCAAACACCGAAAACCTCCTCACTGAGATTAGTCTCACCATTACAGCTTGTGTTCAGAGACGCACAGCTCCTCTTTCTGAAAGCCTGACTTGCACAGCCTGTCCTCCCCCAAAACCCATTCCCTTATAGGCTCTGACATAAAAAGGGGTATCCTGCAACATCGTACAGCCTCCAACAAGAGAGCATAACGCAAGGAAGCAGCTGGGCATCTGTGACTCTGAACAGCCTGGCAGAAGAAGAAATGAAGGGCACACTGAAGTCAAGGAAATAATGCACAGTCGTCTTCTGCTCCGCATGCAGCTCTGTAACCGGTGCCCTTTCCCACTCCTCCAGGAGCGATTCCCTGGCTTGGAGTACGGCACATACAAGCAAACAGACAACCCCAGAGAAAACATTTCCAAACTGTGGAGCGCTGCGCAAAGAGACAGAAGAGGGACAAAGGGTGCAAAGCAATGAACAGACAGAGGTAGGGTCAGAGCAGCAAAGCAACAGGATCACAGAGAGCAGAAGAAGGATGATCTCCATTAGGCTCACAGATAAACAGGATCCTCCCATGCTGTAAAAGCAGTAAGCATCAATTTTGCCACACTATACTGTAAGGACAAGGGGTCCAGGTGCAGCCTCTTTGCGCCTTTAAAATTCAGAAGACTCCTGAAAATTTTCACTTGCACAGGGAGTCACCAGCGGGATGCAAAACCAAATGACATCATGATAGATTAGGCTACGCCAGTGTGTGTCAATCTATATGCTCTTACTGTGCAGCAAGCAAGGCAGCATGAAGAAAGCTGGCCTATGCATGGGCAATTCCCAGCCAACAGATCAAGCTCTCGCTTAATGACAGTACCCTGTTTGCATGGCCACGGCGCTGGAAGCACAGCCAGGGACAGGCTGCAGCAGACACCACTTTTGGCCCCTTCCAGTGAAGAATGAGGCTCCTGAAAGCATTGCGAGTGCAGGGCACAGCAAAGAGAAAGCTTTTTATTCAGGGAATAAGGTTCTGTCTTGCTCAGCAGCCGTATGCTCAGATGGGACCAAGGGCAAAGAGGGATGCGTTCCAGTTCCAGTCATGCTCATGTGAATCATTAATCACGGCAAGGACTGGGGAGAGGCTGTGGATTTATATCCAAGCAGCTTGTTTCAGAAACTGGGCTTAAAATAAAGACATAGAAAACAGAGAGCACCAAAAGGGTAAAACATGCCTGAGAGGAATATACAAAAGAACCAAGTATCATCTCCTTTTGCATAACGTTCCAAGGGAAAGGAGAATAGACATGAAAATCAAAGTGATCCTACACATCCAGCACAACATCCAGAACTGTTAATGGTTGCTTCCCTCTCCGTTTGCTGACACAAAGTATTGCAGGACTGAGATCACAACCGGCTCTGTAAAGGCAGGCCACACTCGGGAATTTCTGGTATAAGGTTTTTGCTGGGAAATTAAAATGGTGCAGTTGGTGAAGCAGAACTTGGGCTAGAGGAAAAAAGTTCAAAATATGCCAGATTTTGCACAATACACTAAAGAAGAAGAAGAAGAAGAAGAAAAAGTACTTGAAAGCAGAGAAAACTGCACTGAGATGGAAATAAAAAGAGATTCATTGCTGTGCTCCAGACCAGAGCCGTTAGCCAGACAGCAAGGTCAGGTCTGGTAAAAGAGTCAAACCCAGGCTAAAAACATGCGTGGAGGGAGCAAGGGAAGAGGCAGCCACATGTCAAAGGAGGTCACCCTGCTGAAAGAAGGCAAATGGGGAAATGAAACACCAGGCTTAACCCGAGCTGGTGGAGAGCAGAAGCTTTGAGGGAGAAAGGGAAAGAAGAAACACAGCAGCCGATGAGAGCTCTGCAACAAATAGGACAAGAAAAGGAAATGACAACTGGATCTGGAAGGAAGTCTGATGAGAAGGGGCTTTTCTTCACCAAGGAGGGTAAGAACGACTTTGAGAAGAGTGGCAGTGAAAGGGAAATACAGTAGTAATAACATGACATTTCTATAACGCAAATGGGGGTAGTAGCTTGCTAGTAAACTGGGAATGAGGTAGAACACTGGGAATGTGGGCCAGGGTAAGATCTCTGCTTTCGAAACTGCAAGGGGTTGTGGGTCCTCCTCAAAACTAAATGCCAGCACAGTGGTTTGTGGAAAATGGGATGAGAAGAAAATAAAATCTACAGCCAGCACCATGGTGCCCTGTCTTTCGGGAAGCTCCATACACAGTCAATTACGTCTTTCATTTGCAAGAAAAGAAACTCTGACTTGTTGCCTTTTTAAACTCTACATAAAGGACGTCGGTTCATGCATTGGAGACATATAACACGAGAAGCAGATCAGACAGGGGAAACACATGAAAGAAGTGCATGACTGGGCTAAGGGTTGGAAAGGGGATGCTGTTCTGGATCTCAGTAAATGGACTAATAAAGCATGGAGCTAACCATCAAAGAATTCATGGAGAAAGGGTGGAAAGAAGCCATGGACTTTGGAAACTCCCTCATGGCCCACATTCCTGCAATGTTTTGGTTATATGGAAAACTTCAAGGGCAAATGATTACAGACCACAGTCTGAGAAGTTAAATCATAACGAAATCTACGTCACTCAAGAAAATGTCCTCTTGCATAAAACAAAACAAACCAAAACACTGTTGTAGGAGGCGGAAGATTGGTTTGGTTTGGAAGACAACATCCAGGTATGTTGGAGGTTGATGGCTGATGGTGTTGTTGAGGATCCAGAGAAGTGTCCACGGGAAAGACCATCTTTTTTAGAAGAAAAGGGTAGTGTGAATGAATCCTGGACAAGGGGAGAAGGCAAAGAAAGAAGGCAAAGCTGATGGAACAGAGTAATCCTAAAGTAAAAAGCTAATTAGTCCAGAAATGTCTGATGAATTACCAAGAATGATCCTGCAGACTTTGAGCAATATTTCTATTGAGTCCTGTGGTCTTTCGCCTGAAAAAGATCACGCAGCAGTGGGAAAAGCTAGAGCATCTTGGATACCAAAAAGTCAATTACCATAACACAGCCCATGTAAGATTTCTCTAAAACAGATCGACTGAGGTAGCAAAAACTGGCCTACACTGTGAAAGCAGTCACTACACCTCAAATATCAGCAGGCATAGCAGTAGACATTCATACCCAAAAGCTGCACCCCATCTTCCTTTCCCCTCTGCAAACACACAGGCAGAACAGTTCCTATCACAAAGGACTAAGTATGTCAAACTGTAGTGAATTCAAACATTTGGGCCATATACTACTTGATAATAACCCTGGAAAACACTGCATGCTGTTTATCTGTTCCAGGTCTAGCTTCGAAGAAGTGGTCTAACCATTAATTCTTTGGATTGAAAATTAGAGTACACTTATTTTCTACCAGTCACTGGGGGAAAAACCAACCAACCAAACAAAAACCAGTGTTTTGCAGACAGGTATAAATTAAAAGCCTCTCTTCCACAGAAGCAATTATTCTCATCTAAATCTTCAGAAACTGTATTCAGCCAAACATACGACAAAAGGGGAGTGTAATGGTTCCCTATGAAACAGACTAGTTTCACTGCTTTCTTGGAGTGTAGTTAGAGAAAGAATCCAAATGTTTTAAAAAAAAAAGTCATTACTTTTTAAATTGTCACTCCCTATGCTTCATTAATGTGGTAGTATCACATATGTTAAAATACAACTTTTTACCTTTTATCTGGACAGCGTCCAGTTAATGAAAAATTTCCACACACGTTCATTTAATACATTAGCCCAATGCATTTTGGGCTAATGTGCCAGAACAGCTTCTAGTATTTTGGCTGTCCCACATCTGTCCTTACAAACGACCTGTGGCCCTTTAAAAAAACTAGCGAACGGGCAAAATACAAAATCGTACGGTCTAAGCCGGTCTTACTAACTTCACTGCAAAAGCACCACATGCCTTAGTAGGAGCAGGATTGCAACTGCACTGCAGCTCCCATCTGCAAGAATTCTGTTTATAGGCCGTTTCGGGGCCTGATTCACAATGCCCTTTGCAAACAGTCCCACGGGCTGCAGCCGCTATTCCCACATCCCATGAGGATGGAGGGGGTAAAAAGCCTTTGTACCACCAGTGACTAACCTGCCCCTTCAACCACACGGCGAGCAGCAGGTGCACCCAGAGTGCTTTGGCCTACCTGTGGCACAAAGAGCAATGAACGTTTGTGCATGCTTCCGGATCAAAAGCAACTTGTCTTTAGGTAGAGGCAGCTTCCTTAGGATGTGTTCAATGAAATCGTGCGGGGTGACGGCTGCGAGGTTCCACTTCAACTTCCCCAGCACCACCAGCTCCCATTCCTGCAGGGGGGGACAGGGAGGGGAGAAGAGAAGAAAAGCCATAAGCAAGCCTGAAAAAAAACCCACTCCGCTTATTTCTCTGACTGTAATTATATCACTGCTAAATCGGTTTTGCTCAAACATTTTTTTCCATATTCCCCTACTGCTTTGAAGTTGTTGACTTTCTTTTTTTTTTTTTTAACAACGCTGGAAATGTCAAGCTCTACTGAAAATAACGGGACCTGGCAGCTCCTGCCAAGATTTCACTTTTTTTGTATCCAGTGCTGAATGCCCACCCAGAAAGTTTAGCCTGCAATTAGATATTGCCAAGGTCACTGTGGTCCTTTCCTAGTAACTTCTTTTAAATGGCTATAGTCCGTACTTTATAGCCATTTAAAGCCCTAGGGATAACCACGCACAAAAATAACCTAGATATACATTCTTCTTTTTTTTTCAAAACTGGAGAAGTTAGCTTGATGGCATTCTCTCCCAAAACTGCATTCAAAAGCTCTGCTGATAAATCTGATGGTGCTTAAACTACTCCAAGACAGGCTTTGCAGAAAGGAAATGCGCGTAACACAGCCAAGAAGTAGCCTGTGTAAATTATCTGCCAATAAATCATGTAGGATCCATTCCCACATTCTTTGCACGCCCAAAACTCCCAGTGAAATCAAAGGAAAGCTTGGGCGTGTATGTAACTACTGGCCATTCCCTGCAATGTGATTATATGTAGAAATGGTACCTAATCAACAGATCCAGCCATGGGGCTCAAGCAGGGCTAGACCTGCATGCTTCAACATTTAAAATAAGTTTTGAGTACCTTACAGTGCCCCGCAGAGTGAACAAAGCTCAGGCCTTGGACTCATTCCTCTCTCGTGCATCAACTATTAGCTATTAACTAAATTCCATGCACTGATTCTTGAGTCCTGATGATGCGTGAGTCTGATGGAGCCCAGCATGGCGGGGAGCCCCAGCTAAGCTTGTAGAGCTGGCGAGTTGAAAAAAAAACGTCCTTTAATTTTGCAGCCGAGGAGACGTCAACCAGCGTTGCTGAGAAACCATAAACATGGACCCCACAATGCCATTTCTGCAGTCGTTTCTCTGAATAGATGCCCACTTTAACAGCAAGTTACTTTCCTACAGACATTCCTACTGGATTATGACAGAGCCCTCCATAGCTTGAAAAATCTCATGCTCATGTATGCAACTGGCCCCAGAAATTAGAGGGGTGCGTTTTTTTTTTTTTCCTTTCTCAAGAAAACCTGTAAAATGTTTGAACATAACGGCAATTATGTTAACTAGGGACCGATCTTCCCAACATTACTAACACGACAGATTTTGATATAGAAGAGCACTTAACTAGAGAACTGAATACAGGAAAGCATGTTTGAATCCACGTGGCACAAAAAGGTAGGCACATCATTCCACGTCTTCTGGCGCGGGGGCCAGCGCGCTTCCCCCAACAGTCCGTACCACCAGCGGGACACCTCGTGTCTGTGACAGCCACGGCGGGGTTTGCAGTGCAAAGCTTTTTACTCTGCAGAAGGATGAGCTCCCAGCCCCTCCCCAGGGGGAATTCCCACCGCCTTCACCCAGTGATTCATAGGAGAAATTCTCCTGGGATTTGGCTGGCTACGCACATTCGCCAGGATCTGCGAGAACAAAGCTATCTGGCTGAATATACGCCTCACCGAGAGGCTTAAATGCTTGTCTAGCGCTCTATACCACGAAGGGCTTTGCAAATATTAATTATCCCACTAAATAATTTTGATGCCTTTTGTTTCTGCTCTCACTGTGCCTGAATTGAACTCTCCCAGGAGAAATACCAGCCGCGGCCTTTTTGCTCACGGGCTTGTTCAACCGAGCTGAATTTTCACCTGCCCCGCTGACAACCTGCGGGGAGCCACGTTCCCAAAAGCCACGGGAACAAGGCCGCAGCTTCCCACGT